CTCCACCACCGCCACCACCTTCCTGGCTGCGGAACTCCTGGGTGGGGGGAGGTAGAGCACAGGGGTGCGGCTGGCTTTAGCCCAGCGGGGAGGGAGGACCCGAGGCAATGGGCTGGAGGACTAGTGTCTCAGGCTCTCACTGGGGCCTGTCCCTGTGGATATGTGTGAAATTGGGGGAGGGGGTGTGTGACAGAACTGAGATGCACGGGATCTGGGGAGGGGCCTTTGGGACATCCGAGAAGCTTATGGATCTTGCCCTTTCCTGCCTTTAACCAAGCCTCCCCCACCTCGCAGGTCAGGGGGCAGGGAGCAGGAAGAGACCCAGGAGGGGCAGGCTAGTGGGGCCTGGGCCTGGCAGGGAGGAGCTGAGCCAGCGCCGGGCTCCCATCAACACAGAGGTGGGTCAGGTGGAGTGTGGCCTGGGCTGACCAGCAGGCTAGACCTAACTGCTATCTCAGGCCTTCTCGGCTTAATCGTGGACCTTCACTGAGCACTGAGCACATTGGTAAATGCCCCCCCACCCCGCCACCCACCCAAACCCAGCCTCCCTAAGATTCAGGAATGGGGAACTGCAGGGGCACAGAGAGAAACATCTTGTCAGAATGTCAGACTCTCAAGAAACAGCCCTGGCCATAGTGTTCAGTTCCTTCCTCTGCACCCCCATTCCCCGGGGAGGCTGGGTGGTACCCCAGGAGCTGGACCTTGGGCACATCCCCTCCACGTCCTCCCTGGCAAATGGCAGGGTGTCAGGACAGCAAATCTCCAAGGCCCTAAGGACTCCACCTCCCTTCCTCTTGGTGACCCATGTGCACACCGGGGTGCATCCTAAGGCCTGGTGGGCTCGCGTGTGCCGACACACACAGCGAAGAGCCGCCCTCCTGGGCTGCAGTCTGGCACATCCGTGACCCCACTACCCACCGAGTGCTCGTGTGGGTGCTCCCACGTGTAGGTCTGTGTCTCAGAATGTCTGATGGCTTCGGGATCTGAAACCCCCTCGTAGCCTCCCCACCATCGCCCCCCTCTCCATGTTTCTGGGTCTCGGGGCTGCCCAAAGAGCTGCCTTCCTCAGGAATTCTCCTCCAACTCAAGAGTGCCTCTTGCCCTTCTTCCTCCAAAATTTGTTTCCAAGTTGGAATCAGGGCATATCGATATGGAGCTGGGTAGGTCCCAGGCTTGGGGGAGGCAAAAGGCAGAGAGTCGGGGAGACAGAGAACCCAGAGCCAGGGGCCAGGACTGGGAGACAGGCATGCATTTCAACTCTCCCTCCCACAAACAAAGGCTCACCCCATCTCCAAAGAATAAGGCTGCCCTGCTCTGTCCCAGATCTGGCCGTTTCCCTCTGCCTCGGACAGAGGGTTGAGGGTGAGTGTGGGTCTGGGGCCGCAGGGACCAGCATGTGTGGGAAGAGAGCATCATTCCGTGGCTGTAGTCTGTTACTAGCTTGTGTGGGGTGGGGACATTAACTATAGAGCAACGGTATGTGTCCACCAGTGTGTGGTGTGCAAATAAGTGTTACTTTGGGGGCTTGTGGTACCTGAGTAACCCCTGAGCCCAAGACACACACACAGCCTTTCCTCCTCAAGTGGTGGTTCCAGGGTGGGGTCCTGACTCCTGAGGCTTCTTCCTTTCCCTCCTCAGCTCAGCAGGCACGGTACCCTAGGGACCCTTCACTTCTCCACTCACCTGTGCCTCACCTGGGAGCTCCCTGTCCGCCCACCCCCTAGGGGCAGGAAGGGGCCAGCTGGGAAAGTCGGACCCTAGTGTCCTACTACTTCTAACCTCTATTCTCTGGCTCTTTGCTCTGTCCTTCCAAGAGGCTTTGAACACAGAAAGGGGCTGAGCTGGAGAGGGGTCTGCTCCTCTTTGTCCCTCTTCTTGGCTGAGCCTCAGTCTTCCTGCCTCTAAAATGGGGAGTCCCCAGCTGAAGCACACAAATCGAAATGTGTGTCTGTGGGAGCTGGGTTGGGTGGTTGGGGTCGCTGGTGAGGAAGGCATGCCTGGCCCAGCCAGGAGTTCTGAGGCCCGGGAGAGGAGGGGGACCGAGGTGCCCTCCTTCTCCGTCTGGCTCTTAGTTCCTAGCCCCACGCCCAGAGCCAGGACCGGCTCAGCCAGGGCTTCGCCCACCCCAAGGCGCCCCACACTGCCTGCACCCGGGCAGGCCCGGCCCCAATTTCAGCTGGAGAGGTGGCGCCGGAGCTCGGACCCGGGCCGAACCCGCCCCTGCCCGGAGCCGCTGCCGCCCTCCCTCCCCCGGCCTCGGCCGGCCGGAGTGACACCTACCTCACCAGGATGGCCACCCCCACGTCCTCGCAGTTGGCATAGAGCCGGGCCCACGTAGCCTGCACCGCCTTCCTCTCCGCCTCGGACAGCTCCTCGCTCCGCTCCCTGCGCTCAATCTCCATCTCGCCCGGCACTTTCTCCATGAGCAGCTCCAAGCCCAGCCCGGCTTCGCTCGGCGGCGGCGGGGCGCGGGGCGCCGGGCGCGGGGAGCCGGGGCCGGGTGCGTGCGCGGCGGGCGGGCTGGCGAGCGAGGGGTAGAGCGCGCCGGAGGGAGGGAGCGTGTCTGTGCGCGCCGGGTGTGTGTGTGTGTGTGTGTGTGTGTGTGTGTGTGTGCAGTGTATATGTGCGGGGGGCGGGGGACCGCGAGCGGGGGGCGGGGATGTGGTCTGCTGGAAAAATGTTAAAAAAAATAAAGCCGCTCCAAACCCCCAACCCCGCGTCGGTGAGCCAGTTCCGGCAAGGTGAAGGCTGGGCGGGGTGGGGGCGACGCGGCTGGCGCCCGCCAGGCCACCACGGACCTTGACCGCCGGGCGGGGCTGGGGCGTAGGTGTGGTGGGAGTGCTGGGGTGGCCTCGGGGGGAGGGGACGGTCACGCGGCGCCGGGCTGTGCCGGCCGCACAGGAGTGCGCCCCGGGCGGGCGCGGGTCGGGGGGCACAGTGTCCCGGCTCACGCTGCGGGCGGTGTCGGGCCGTGCGCGTGTGTGCACCCTTCACGCGGCGGGGAACTGACTCAAAGTCAAACACTCCCAGGCGTTTGCGGCGTGGCCGCCCGCCCGAGGGGACGAACGCGGCCCCTCCGGCGGCGCCGGGGTCCCAGCTGAGCTCACGCTCACTCCGGGCTTCTCCCTAGCCAGCCACTGGGGGCCGCGGCGCCACTCCCAGAGCTCCCGACCCCCGGCTCCGGAGGGTTTAGGACTGGGGTCGCTTCCCGGCTCCAATTCCGTATTGGAATCCCCCGCTGCGGGGATGGGGGACGGCTGTCGAACTTCAGCGCCGGAGGCCTGCGGTCCCCTTTCCTTCCGGCCAGCAAACCCCCCCCCCCGCCCTGTACGTACACATGGCGTCGGAAAAAAAAAGTCCCTGGGTGGCTCATTAATGACACAGGCAAGCAAAAAACAGGCGCTACCCCGAATTCCCGCCCTGGTGGAGGAAAGTCCACAGGAAAGGCAGCCGGCCGGGCAAGGAGGTACTGGGGGGAAGGTGTCAAGAAATCTTGGGGAGGCCCAGGCCCTGGAGACATCTCAGCTGCGAAGGCTGCGACTAGGCAGCGGTTCCGCGAATGGAGGAGCCAAATCCTTGTCCTGGTGGTCCTGCGAGGTGTAAGCGCCACAGGACCGGAGGTGGGGGCTGGGCCTCAGAGCCAGAGGGTCCCCACCCTGCAAGTAACTGTTCAGACCTAGGACGGCCGGGTCCCACCTCTGACTCCCAGCCCCAGCCCCAGGCCAGCGTCCAGTTCCCCCTAACACTCCCTGGTGACCCCGCCCTTCTCAAGACTTTAGGTCCCACTGTGAGTATTAGAAGAGGTTGGCTCTCCTCTTCAGCTTTGGTTTAGGTATGTTGAAAATCATATTTCAAAGTAGAGAGCCCAGGTGGAGCCCCAGCTCTGGCCCTCCCTGGAGCTCAGGTTCAGGTACCTCCCTGGAATCCTGAGCCTCCTGGACGCTGCCTCCATCTCATTTGAGGGAAGGAAAATCTAGTGCCTTCTTCTGGGGATTTTGGAAAGGGATGGAAGAGGGTGGATGCTCAGACCCTTGTCTGCTCCATAGGCTGCCTAGGCCAGGACAGAGCACTCTGCACCTGGCCACCTCCCTGAAGCCCTCTGATAGGACACCCAATGCCAATGTGGTGCCCTTCCAAGCAGCTGCCCAGGAGGTTTCCACCGGGAAAGCGAGCAGGAGAAATCTTATTTCTATTTAGTTTCATCTCATCCTTTGCAAGTCTTATGTGTGTTCGTGGTGCAGGACTGTATTTGCCCAGTAGTATAGTATATAATGTCTAAGTGGATGCATATACCTATTTCACAATGCATACTTAAATTCGGTCTTTTAAGGAAGGGGGTATGTCATCAGTAACATTTGGAGAGGATTGTCCAGCGGGGAGAACTGAACCGCTTAGCCAGCCCTTCATTCCCTGGCCTCCCTTGTCTTTCTGGCTTCTTCATCTAATATTCTTCTCCCTTCCTCCCCTCCCGATGCCTCCCCATGACATCATTGTTCTGCTGACACTCAACTTCCAGTTGCTGGAACGTGCCCTGTGCTTTCATGTTTGCAGCCCCCAGCAGAATCTTCCAGCCGGGGGCCCAACCTTCCTTGAGCACCTGCAAATTCTGATGCCCCCAGCTCCTCTTCCAATTGGGCGTTCCCTGAGGATCTGCAGGTGCCTTCCATCACCTACATCTCTCTATTGTGGTCATTTATGTAACTGGCCAGGGCATGTGTCTAGACTAGAAACCCCTTGAGGGTTGGGCCCAGGTCTCAGTCACATCGACATCCAGAACGGACAGCTTGATTTACCCTGCCACTGCGACGGACAACCTGGGCTGAGCGAGGTTAATCAGTCTGCACAAGGTCGGATCTGCTGACCCCACTAATCAGCTTGAGCCTCCTAATCCAGTGCAGGCAGGAACCTCAGGATGGACAGCAGTGGCTTGTGAGAGCGGGCAGGGCCATTTTGGCCTTCTTCTACAGACCTTGTCTGGGAGGGGATGGGGCTGCTGAGCCATGTGCACCACCCTCTTCCTGCTCAGCACCTTGGCCATGCTCTGGCGCCGCCGATTCGCCAACCGGGTCCAACCGTGAGAAACTGACTGGGCTGCGGGCTTGGGTGGGGAGCGGGGGGTGGGGGGGGGACTACTGTTCGGGGCCAGAGCCAAGTTGAAGGTGGGCCTGAGCTACCTGGACCTCCTGGGAGGCTGCGGGGTGGTGGGTGGATTTGCAGGGAGTCCCTAAGAGGATTCCCCTCAGAGCAGGGGGAGTTTGCAGCTCTTCAAAGACTCTGTCTGAAGCCCCCAGCCCCCCAGCCCACCGTGGCTAGGTCCTGCAGGACAGCCGGGGGTCTGGGCCTGGGCACTGCCCACAGCTCTTCCTGCCTGTTCCTCCCTCCCACAGAGAGCCCAGCGGAGTAGAGGGGGCCGTTACAGGCAGCAGATTGGAAACAGACCTCCGGTCCTCAGGCAGGTAAGGCAGAAGAGAGTCGGGGGTGGAGGAGGGAGGGTGCGTCCAAGGAAGCTGCCGCTTTCCCTGTCCCTGTCCGTGCCTGGGGAGGTGTAGGAGTGTGTGCGTGCACGCTGGAGGCTGGCCCCTCGCCCCAGCCACCCTGTTCGCTGTGTGCCCGGTGGGCAGGCTGAATGTTTTCTCTAGGTGGCAGTGGGAGCCCCCAGGCTCTCCTCTGGACCAAAGCTGCTCTGCCTTGTTTGTCCCAGTGTGGGGTGGTCCCCAGGGTCCTATCAGAAGGCGCAGGGGGACTGGAGAGAGGGATGGGGCAGGAGCAGCTCTGGCGGCTCGGCTCGCCTTCCCCTCCCCCTCCCCTTCCCCGGCTGCCCCCGCTCAGCCTCAGCGGCTCCTCTGCCCGAGCCGCTAGCCGGATTCGCTGTCCAGTCCCCAATAGGAGGCGCAGGAGGAGCATGACATCATCAGCACGGACTGCCATTGGCTGGGCAGCTCCTGCGGGCTGGACGCTGTCTTCAGTGGCCAGAAAGTTAACTCTTCACTAGGCTGAAACCATGTGGCGTTTACGAGGGGTGAAGTTTTGGGAACTTCTGGATTTTTCCTTTCCTGGGTGACCAGGGTCCTTAGATGATAGGGGCTCCTGTGCCCAACAAAACACGGAAAAATCGACAAATATTTATTAAGAACATAGTGTTTTGCATGTTCTTTCGTGCCTGTGGGCCCACCTAGTGTGGGAGTCCTGTGTGGTGTGACATTCTCTCCTGCAAAAGATCTACGAGCCTTCTCCCCCTCCTAGTGAAACAAAGAACAGGATGCCCTTGGGCTCCGGGGCCCCTGGCTGGAGGGAGTCTCCCCACAGGGCTCAGATGGCTGAGCCCTGAGCATGCCTGCCTGCCGGGGCACCTCAGTGTCTCCTTCTTTTGGGGTGTGGGACCCACCTGCAGTGCTCTTCAGCCACACAGAGACTGGCAAGCCACAAGAACGGGAGTCTCTGTGTGCAGCCGCTAATTCCTCCTCCTCGCTGCTCGGATCCCTCCAGGCTCTGTCAGAAGGCCCACTGGGCAGCCCTGGGGACGTGCCGGAAACAGGCATTTCTGTGATGCCCTTCCTTGGCATCTAAGCTAGCTGAGATGGTCACAAAAGTGCCCAAGTAGCCCTACTGGTGAAATGGGCTGACCTAGGTGAAATGGTGAGCCCCGGGCCTCACACAGAGCAGGCCCTCAAATGACTGGTCCTCCATGTTGAGTTTGGGTCTGGAGGTGTATAGCCAGAGTCCACATCCTGACTCCCTGCTTACTGACTGAGGGACTCGGGGAAAGTTATGTGACCTTTTTATTGATATATAAACTGGGATTAATAACAGAATGGTGTGGGGTGTTTGCGAGGTTCAAACTGAGATCATGGTAAAGCACTCGGCATGAAGTGGCTGTTTAATAGACACTGGTTATTCTCCTGCTGTTACCTGGCTCTTGATCAGGCTTCTAGTCTTCCCCTGAGGTCTCTCATATATTAACTCACTTGGAGGTTGTAACAGTCCCAGAGGGTTGGCAAGACAAGCGTTTCTATCTCTCATTAATGGTGGAGGAAACTGAGGGATGGGGAGGTGTAAGTTACTTGCTTAAGGTCATCCATCCGATTTGTGGCCGATGGGGACAGACAGGTCCCTGACTTCAGGCAGTCTGTCTCTTCCCCACGAAATGGGCCCAGACCCCCTGTCAGGAGGAAGGAGCTGAATCTGGACTCTCTGGCCTGGCCTCACGTGGTCCAGCCAGAAGGAAGCAGTTTCCTGTTAACTCCTTGGGACCCATTTAATTGGAAAAATCGGCCTAACATCTAACACCTCCTGCCTTCAAGGGCTGGCCTGAGGGAAATTTCTGCTCTATGACTCCACAGTCACAAATTCCAGCTGATTTCCCGGCTGCTCCTAACCCTCCATAGTGGGGTGACTTGCTAGGCCTGGGCCAGAAGGGAGAGGAAGTCTGGAAACACAGGTAGGATATCCCCCTCAATCCTCTGACTCGCACGCTTTTCTGTTTAGGGAGAAAGAGTCTCTGAAGTAAGTCGTCACCTCTTCAGGCGGAGCTCGGCCCCAGGGACTGAGATCAGGGGCAGAAGCAGGTAGGGCAGGGCTGCGAGCCTTGGAGGGGAGAGGGCTGGGCTGGGGACCAGGAAGGAAGACTCTGCAAGTCTGGCCGTGTGGGAGCAGAGCAGGCCACCTCCAGCTCTGTGGTCATCGGTGGAGGGTGAGCATAAGGCGGGTGGACTCTTATCAGCTTCTACCTTGAGCCTGTTTGGTCCAGACCGCGGGGCAAGGGTTTTAAGGGAACGACGTGCGATCTCAACAGCATTTTTCCAGGGCTGGGGATGAGGTAGAGGTCATGCAGGGGGCCTGAGGGTAGTGCCGGCAGACTTCTAAGGGAGAGGAGGTGCTCTGAAATATCCATTCTGCAATGCAGGCCTCTGCCTTGGCATGGGAGGAAGTGCTAATCTGGTTTGGTTTTCTGTTTTAGTTCAAGTCCTGGCTTGCCCCCCCCCCCTGCAAGGATGCTGTGGTGGAAGCAGCAACAGCAAGCAGGAGAATGGGAAAAAGCAGCCACCAAGAAGGTAGACCTCTCCCTTTGAGCCCCTGGACCTGTCCTCACTTTGTCCCCGGTGCTGGTGGTGGGACTCCTGAGGCAAGGCCCGGCTGGGGCTGGCAGGAGGGGCAGAGACGCTCATTGCTCTGGGCTGGGCTCCCTTCCTCTGAGGTCCTGAGGACCGTCTGAGGCTGGCCCAGAGCGGGACTTGGTGGGGTCTACTCTGGGGCAGCCCCAGAAGGTCCAGGCTAGAGGAGGAGCAGATAGGGAGCAGGGAGCCCCAGAGCCAGGGGATCGCTGATGGGGCTTCTCATTCATTCCCTAACTTAATCCTTGCAACAACCCAAGGAGCCTGGGCATATTATTGTCCACATTTTGGAAATGAGGAAACACAGAGAGGCTAATGAACTTGTCCAGTGTCATGTAGCTAGTTAATGGGGGACCCCCCAGCCTCATACAGGAGCTGCAGAGCCACCCGCGCTCTTAGCCACCAGGGCCCAGTCGTCTCTGAAACCACCTGGAAGTTTGCAACTGCTCTGTGAGAAAAGGGGTTCCCCTGGCCTGGCAGCCCCAAAACTTGTGGTCCGAGGCTGCATGGCATCAGTTTGCTAGGGTAGCACGCACTCCCTGTGGCACTTCCCTTCCCGGTCCCCAGGACGTACTCTGTCCCCGGCCGCTCTGCTGAAATTATCTGCCAGAACTGCCAGTTGGATCTGTGACATGTCTGCCTGCAGCTGGAGTGAAGCATCTCTCAGCCTGTGCTCTGAATGTGTCTTCTGGGCGCTCCTGTGTGCATGCGTGCGTGTGTTCCAAAGGGGCAGTAGCATGTGGGAAGGGAAAAAGCATGACACTTGTTTTTGTCAATCCGCTGACTGCTCAGCACCGCGGCGGCCTCCTTTGCCCCCAGCTGCTCTGCCATTTCTCTCTTCAAAATCCTGCCCGATCCAGAGCAGACATCAAAGCAGATTTCCGCTTCTGCTGCCTGGGATCCAGGCACAGACCTGCAGGGAGCTGCTCCAGACCGTCTGGAAGCCATTCATCTTGCAAAGCACCCCCCTACCACTTCCCGCACGTGCACCCCCCTTCCTTGCCATCCAGCCCCCATGGCGGGCGAGCGGGCGGGCAGGCGGGTGGGCGGGCAGAGAAGTCTCCGTCTGGCTGGCCCCTGCCATCAGGAGGCAGGAGATGGGGAGTTCTCTAGACAGAAGCCCCTCTGTCGCCCTGACTCCCCATCTGAAGGAGGGAAGGAAAGCGTGAGATGCTGCAGACAGAGGGGACCCACACTGAAGCCATGGGGGAGGGGCTGTTGATCCTGCAGGGAGCCTGGTGATGCTGTGGAAGCTTCTAGAAGTAGGGCGGGGCAGAGGCAGGGGAAGGGTCCCACCAGGGGAAGGAGCACTGGGCTGGAACCACCGCAGAGCCCCGCTGCGCAGTTGACCCAAGCCAGGAGTTCGTGACCACCTGTCTCAGCTCCTGTTAGCTTGTCTTTCTCCTGCCAGGCAGCGGTCTTCCTGGTGACAGGGCTGTCAGGCTGCGGGCCAGAGGGCACCATTCCTGGGGCCCCAGTCGGCGTCCCCGAGCCCTACCTGTGTATTCACCCTCTAATCTATTTGCCATGTTCCTGTCACTTCAGCCCTGGCTCTGCTCTCTGCCGTTTCCAGGTGGCCTGTCTCCTTGCACTAGTCTGAGGAATTGTCAGGCCAAGGTCAGCTGGCTGGACAGGGGCTGGCTGGCGGCCCAGACACACCTCCACAAAGCGACACCCCTTCGCAGCACTGTTCTAGGAGCCTGCTCAGGGGATGGTGGCTCCTCCAGGCATGGGTCCCAGATGAAGGGAGGGAAGGCGAGGGGTTGGGGGGAGTGTGTTGGCTGGCCTTGGCGCCTGCCTGGGCCCTGGCAGCTGGGGTGCCATGTGGGCCGGGAGGGAGGGGCCCTCTCCCCCAGGGAGCAGGCTGGCTTCGGTGGGAGCAGATTGTGTTTACACCTTCCCCACACGCCCAGCCTACGCTCCCTCTTATTCCCTGGGGCTCTCCCACCCCTGGGCTCTCTGCACAACCTGCACATTTGCAGCCCCTTTCCTGCTGCAGGAAGGGGCCACCCTCAGCCAAGCGCTCCTCTAGAGAAGGCTGCCCGGCCCGAGGTGCTCCTTCCTCAGCCCACTGTCTCCTGTTGCAGGGGGCGGACCCAGTGTCCCCAAGAGGCTGCCTCCTTCCCCCCCCACCCCATTTCCTTGGAAAGAGCTGCTGCTTGGGAATGGGAGCAGGAAAGCCCAGGGGCTTGGCCGACTGACCATAATAGGAGGGAAAGGATTAAGGGCAACCGGAGAGACAGCGCTGAGGCCTAGAGCTGGTGCCTCCCTGGCCCGGGGGGTGCTGGCTCTCATGAAATATCAATGTAGAATCTAAGAGTGAGGAGTCCGGACTCAGAGCACCGGATTTGAATCCTGACTCCACCATCTCTTCTCAGTTCTGTGGCCTGGGCTGGGTTGCTGAACGCCCCTGCCTAGGATTTCTCCTAAGAGGAGGGTAACAGTAAACTTGTCTCAGAGTTCTTGTAAGGGTTAAATTAGATGACGTGTCTAAAGTGCTTAGCGCACTTAGTAAGTGTTCAATATATCTGAGCCCAGGGAACAGTGTTAACTACTGAACAACAGGTCACTTTGCAACAGTGGTAGGTTCGGAACAGCTAGTCCTTCGCCTCCTCACCCCATGGCCCTTCCTACCCTGTCTTTGCACATACTCAACAGCGGGGACATGGGCAGTTCTGGAAACAAGCCTGAGCCCGGCCCAGCACAGGGGCACCCAGTAAGACCCGGCAGCCAGGCAGACTGGACCAGGGAGCACTGCTGGGTGCCTGGAACCCTCTCCCAACCTCCAGTGGGAGGTCCGACCCGGATACCTTCCCTGCAACAGGCTCTGCTTCCTTGCATTGATCTCAGCTCCTAGAGAAGACAGGAGGTGATGGCCCTGATGCTTTTCCACCCTCCATCTGACTGCTAATCTCTAATCTCTCTGCCGGTTGGAACCTGAGTGGCAGGGAAAAGGCTGCTCTGTGCGGCAGGGCGGGAGCAGGGAGGTGCTGTTTGTTGTGGGCTACCTTTGCGGCTGAGACTCTCGGGGCTGCTGCCTGTCTCTCCTGGAGACTGGGACATGACCGGAGAGCTAATGAGGCGGCGGGGGTGGGAAGCAGATATAGCAGCTGCATCAGTCGCCGCTGTCCTGTGTCACCCTAGGGGGAGATGCCGCCACGGGGAGTACCCCTGCCTGTCCCAAACGTGTGGTTGCACGGATGCGGGCAGGATGATTCTGGGCGAGGGCATCCAGCAGAGGCCCTGGTCCAAGACGAGGTGGGCATGGCACCTGATCTAAGGCGGGCACGGTGGCGTAAGGACTGGTCCCACCGGTTCCCAGGGACCCTTTACGGGACCTCAGTTAGGAAGAAGCCCAAGACCTTGAGCTAGAGGGAAGTAATGCTTCTTCGTGAGCCTCGAAAGAAGGGAAATGGCCAAGGTTTATAGTAATATAATGATACTAATAATATTATTAATAATGGCTAATGTGTCTCAAACACTTCTGTGCTAGGTGCTGGGCCAAGTGCTTTATTTATATGCATTGTCTCATTTATGGGGCAGGAACTGTTGTCATCCTCATTTACCCAATAAGGAAAGTGAAGTTCGCAGAGCTTGCTCAAGGTCACTCACAGCGAGTAGTGAAGCCAGGCTGTGTGCCCGGGCATGTGATGCCAAAGCCTGGGAAGGTGTTGGGGCACAGAGCACTGACTTGAGTCTTGAGCTGGGGCTCGAGGACGTCCTGGGTGTGACCTGTCCCCCAGGGTACAGGGAGTGAGAGCTGTGGACCCCGCCCGCTGATATTCCCACTGGGGCTCACTCTGCAGAAACTCATCATTCGAGGCCGGGCCAGACTCTGGGCCCCGAAAGGCCAGTCCTGGCCTGCCGACTGAGGGGAGTGAGGAGAGCTGCCTTTCCAGGACCTGTCACATCCCTCAGAGAGGAAGCAGTGGCCCCTAGCCAGGACGACAGACATCCTCGAGCTTGTCACTCATTGCCACTACGGCTCTGTTGCAGAGCCCTGGGGGTAGGAGAGGATGGTAGCCAGTAGCCAGCCTGCGATGGGGGAGCTTGAGGAGGAAGGCTTTGTTGTTTGTTTTTGCAGGGGAGGGTGTGGCGGTTTCAAGGCGGTGGCTTCAAGAGGGACCCTCTGACTTCAGCTGGAAACCAGCCCTTATACGTAAGGATTATGGACCCTCTCTGTGGGATACACATGCCCCCTAGCGGGGATTAAGCCGAGAGGGTGGCTGAGAAAATTAAAACCAAAAAAAAAAAAAAAAAGATTTTCTGATAGATTATGGCCTCTGAGCCTGGATAGGAATGGCCAGTCCCGTGTCCATGCAAGTGCACGTGCCCGCGCGCGCACACACACACACACACACACGGGCACACACAGGTTTAAGACCATTTGCAGAGGCCAGGTGAACGGAGCATTCAAAGAAATGATTTCATTTCTTCCTTGGTCATTTATTTAAGAAGCGTGTATCAGGAGCCTGCGACGTATACACCTTGTGGTAGGTGCTGGAGTCAGACCGTGATGAAAGGGACGGTGCCCAACCTGCCAGGGGGGACAACAGGAAGAACCTGGCTGAGGAAGCCCAGGTGTGCTGGCTTGGCCACTGTCTGGTCACATGAGCTCTCCTTCTCTGGACCTCAGTCTCCCCATTTAACAGGCAGTGTGGAACCCAAGTGGGCTGGTGCTGAGGATGGGAGGGACCCCCGACTACCCTCAGAAGAAGAACCGTCTGGTGAAATGAAGGGGATGGACCACTTCCAGATTCTCCCAGTCAGAACAGGCTAAGATGGACTGTGTCTGGAGGTGCTGACAATGACTCGCCCCCTCAGCAAGCGTGGATGGAGCACCTGTATGCCAGGCCCCGTGGGTGCAGAAATGAAGTAAGGCTTCCTGCCACAAAGAGCTAGAAAACATGGCAAAATAGAAGCAACCGACACTTGATGGCAGGCACCACACAGGATGGTGACCCCATGGCCGCCTCAGTGTCTGCCTCGCCCAGGTCCCTGCCTGTGGCGTGGGGAGGGGAACCCCAGCAGACTGCAGTGGTCTCGTTCTGGTAAGGAGACAAGATCAGAGCTCAGGACAGTGCGCTGTTCCTAAGGGTATACACACAGATCAGTGGGATCGCCAAAACAGACACCCCGAAGGTGATCCAATGGAGAAAGAAAAGTCCTTTTGAGAGAATACAAAAAGCACTGACCATAAAAGAAAAAGATAAGTTGAACTTTATCGAAATTTTTGGAAAGCCCAGAATATTTGCCAAGCAAAAATCTGAGAAAGGACCCATATCCAGAATATATAAAGAACTTTTACAACTCAATAATAAAAAGACAGCCCCCCAAAAGGGAGGGGGAGGGTTTTAATAGACACTTCACAAGAAAGTATACATATGGCCAGTAAACACATAAAAAAATACACAACATCATAAGTCATCAAGGAAATGCAACTTAAAACCACTATGAGATACTACTGCACACTCACCAGAATGGCTAAAAGATCATGATAGATGTTGGTGAACAACCGTAACCCTGTACTAATACATTGCTGGGAAACCAGTTTGGCAGTTTCTTAGGAAGTTATCCAAGAGGAATGAACCTGGTCCACACAAAGAGATGTTCAGAGCAGTGTTATTAATAATAGCTCCAAACTGGAAACAACCCAAATATCCTTCAACAGGTGAATGGATAGGAAAGGGGGCAGTGTATTCACACAATGGAATACTACTCAGCAATAAAAAGGAAATGAGCCACTATATGAGTCATAACACGGGGCACTGAGAGAAGCCAGACCCCAAAGAGCACCTACTATATGAATCCAATTATAGGAGATTCTAGAACAGGCAGAACTAATCTGGAATGGCAGAAAGCAGATCAGTGGTTGTCTGGGGCCAGGGCTAGATATGGCACTTTGAAATAGCAGGAAGGTGCCCTTCAGGGTGCTGAAGATGTTCTAAATCCTGACTGGGGTTGTGGTTATACGGGTGTACTGCTGATTGGATGATTGAATCGTACATTTTAAATGCATGCATTTTATTGTATGTAAATTATATCTCAATAAAGATGACTTAAAGAGTTTTAAAAAACAACAACAACAACAAGAATGAAGACCTGATCCTTGTCTTGCTCACAGTCTAGTGGAAAAGCCAGATGTGAAAACAAATAATCATGACAGTGAGTATCCTAAGAAGTGTGCTCAAATAACAAGGGTCCTGTTCGTGACGCGCTCCCTCACGCCCGGCCCATGGAGGTGCTTGTGCGTGCACTGTTCTAAACGTCCAGATGAGAAAAGAGGCTGAGACGGAGGGGCAGTGGTTCACGCAGGGTTACTGAGCTAGAATCAGAGGGCTGGGACGGCTCTCCGAGCCTGCCTGGGCGAGGAGCATGTATTTCACCAGCCTGCGGCAGAACACCCAGCAGAGAGCTCGGGACCGCTGCAGCTTCTCAGGTGAGACTTTGCAGAGGAGGTATTGACATAGGAGCTGGAATTTGCTCAGCAGAGGAGAAGATGAGGGGAAGGAAATTTCAAGGCAAAGGGAACAAACAATATAAACAAAGGCTAAGCAACACTCGTGAGAAGGCGGAGTTCCTGGGAATGGAGAGTCGGGTCCCAAAATGAGCAGAAGAGGTCAACAGGATATTACATGTTCTTCTCATTCACTTATTTTTTAAGAACCCATTAAGCAATAATTTTACGAGAGGCAACAGCTCTGCTGAGCAGGCAAGTGATGTGTGTGCTCTTGGCAAACACAGGAAACAACCCACTGCCATGCCAAAGTCGCCTCTTCTCAGTGAATGGGGTATGCCTTGCGACACTTCTCCCCCTGCAGGAGGTTAAAGCTGTGGTCCACAATCCCAGGTTTCTGCTGAACACAATCTGTGGCACGCTTTCATGATCTTCAGAAATCCCAGGGGGGAACAAAAAAAAAACCCTGTGCTTTTATGCTGGGCTTTCTGGCTGGCTGAAGTCAAACCACTGGAGTGACGCAAAATGTGTCCCACTGTCATTCTGTGTTCTTCCGGGAAACTCTGCACAGTGGTGAGGATCACAGGCTTTGAGGTTGGACTATCTGAGGTCTGATCTCAACGCTCCCATTTACTGATCACTTTCACTTTTCTGCCCTTTGACTTCTTTGGTTGCAAAAGGGGGGTGATCCTAAGAGGGCAGACGGGAGAATGAAGGGACAGTACATGCAATGTGTTCAGACCCATCAAGTCTGAGGCGTTAAGCAGGTACAGTTTTTGTATGCCAGTCTGGCCTCAACATGTTGGTTTCTTAAAAGGAAGGTGCTTTTAGCAGAGCCTGGCCCGGAGCAAACACTTAATAGACAGTAGCTTTTGTGTTTTCAGAAAGGGGACATGCACATGTCAGCTCATTCCTTTTATTTTGCCATGACCTGTTCTTTCAGAGAATTATAATGAAATGAAAAGGATTTGGGACATGTGGATCATATCATTTAGGACGACTGTGACTCTAACAGAACACCCAACTTAGGGTGGCTCAAATAGTAAGGAGATTTCTTTTTTAAATCTCCCATTCTGGGGCATCTGGGTGGCGCAGTCGGTGAAGCACCCGACTCTTGGTTTCGGCTCAGGTTATGATCTCAGGGTCGTGAGACTGCGCCCTGCATTGTCTGTGTGTGTGTGTGGGGGGGGTCTGTGCTCAGCGGGGAGTCTGCTTGGGATTCTCTCTCCCTCTCCTTCTGCTCCTCCCCCCAAAATAAATAAATGTGAAAAACTCTGATTCTGTGTTTCACTGCAACTAACATGCCATTGCTTGTAAGATGCTCCTCGCATTCAGAAATATTAAAATGTTAAAATATGTGTCTCTGAGTCAAAACAAAAGGTCTGAAGGTACGGGGCTCTAGGACTGATATTTCAGCAGTTCATCATGAAGACTCTGTTCTTTGTTTCTGCTCTGCCACGTCAGACTTTCTGCTCTGGCTTTGGAACAAGTCTCATGGATGCAAGAAGGCTGCCACAGCCTCAAGCATCCTATCTTCACAGCATCCCAAAGCCAGAAGAGAGGGTGTTGTTTTTAAAAACAAGAACACTTTCCCAAACTTGGCATAACTGCATCACACACCCTTTTCTGAATTCCTGGCAGAAGGAATAGATTTATCGTAATTGTCTGGTGCCGACTCATCAAGATTCGCCCGTAGGGCTGGGGAGGAGCCTGCCTCCACTGAAGCACAGACAGCCAGTAGCTTTGTTCTGCTTGTGAGATGGAGGAAGAACTGCTGTGCGCTGCCACGCAGATGAACCTCCTGTGAATTACCCACCGGTCAGCTGCTCCAGACGTAAGCAGCCAACTGCTTGGGATTATACCTATCCACCTTCCTGTTCTTACTAATGATAGTAGAGCTTCCTTTCCAGGTTAAGAAATTAACCTCAATATTCCAAGGACTTGGCTTCCTATTAATGTGGGTTTCGGATACCATATCTGAAATCCTATCAGTGAATGGAACCCAGTGAGCTCATCACCCGAACACAGCAGGCCAACTGACTAGATTTCACCTCTGTGCTCACAGCCAAGGCCCTTGCACCGCACCGAGGACTTTGGCCCTGCTCCGTTAGTGTTCTGCTTCTGTCACTGAGCACTGGACTGTGTGACTCTGTCCATATCCATAACTACAGATACACACTAGCCTTGGATAACGGCTGCATAATAATTCTACCGCACATAAAACTCAAGCATCCCAGACCTCGGGGCACCTGGCTGGCTTAGTTAGTGGAACACACGACTCAATCTCAGGGTCCTGACTTCAAGCCCTGTGTTGGGTGTAGACCTACTTAAAAAAAAAAAAAAAAAAAATCACTTCATCTAACACTTTGGTCCCGACAGCTCTGAACCCCTGCCTGCTCATTCAGAAAACTGATGCCTTCTTTGTTGTCTTTCCCACTGATTTCTTTTTAAGATTATTTGTTTATTTATTTATTTATTTGAGGGGGAGAGAGAGGGAGAGCGTGTGCACGGAGCACAGGAGCAGGAGGGGAGGGGCAGAGGGAGAGGGAGAAGCAGACTCCCCGTTGAGCAAGGAGCCCAATGTGGGGCTCCATCCCAGACGCCTGAGATCATGACCGGAGCCCAAGGCAGATGCTTAGCCGCCTGAGCCCCCCGCCCCCCCGCCCCTGTCTTTCCCACGGATTTCTGGCCTGTCCAGGCAGTGTGCCCCACAGGTGCGCAGTCACAAGTCCTCTCACTGCATTTTGCTCTGGCCTCTTGGCCACTGCCCAGCCACCCGGGACACCCCATCCGCTGTGAGCCTGCTGCTCTTCCGCTAAGTGTCCTGTCGGGTGTGAAAGCTACACTGTGGGCACACTAGGCGGCAACCAGTCCGGGACTCAAGACAGCCTTGCTAGAGCCCAGAGCCCCACGGTCTAGCACCCATCAGCCCCTGCAGCCTCTCCTCCTTACCCTTCCTGCAATAAAGTGGCTCAAAAACTGTGGAACAGGTGCCCATCATTCCCCCCAGTAATTTCATCCCTAACAACCCCTGCAAACACACAAAACCCCTCTTTGCTCCTCTCCCCCACAACCAGAAGCCCTATAATAAGAATGACGTATAGACACTGGTGCGGTACAGCTTAGTGGTGAAAGCATGAACTCCACAGGCAGGGCCCAAACCCCGACTCCAGCAATTACCAGTTGTGTGAATTTGGGCAAGTTACTTCATTGCTCAGTGCTTGCATTCCCTCATCCGTGAAATAGGGGTAGTGATGGTGCCCTTCACAGGGCAGCGGTGCACGTTAAACAAATCAATGCACGTCTAGTGCTCCAGGAGTAACACAGTAAGCGCTATGAGGTATCCACTCTGGCTATTGTTCACCTGCAGCAGGTCGCTCGCCTGCAGACCTGCAGTGTTTGGAACTTCCACACTTAAAACTCCCTCTCCAGGGGCGCCCGGGTGGCTCAGTTGTTAAGTGTCTGCCTTTGGCTCGGGTCATGATCCCAGGGTCTTGGGATCGAGCCCTGCATCGGGCTCCCTGCTCAGAGGGAAGCCTGCTTCTCCCTCTCTCCCTGCTTGTGTTTCCTCTCTTGCTGTGTCTCTCTCTGTCAAGAAAATAAATCTTAAAAACAAAAACAAAAACAAAACTCCCTCTCCAAGGGTGCCTGGGTGGCTCAGTCATGATCTCAGGGTCCTGGAATCCAATCCCACATTGGGCTCCCTGTTCAGTGGAGAGTCTGCTTCTTCTTCTCCCTCTCCCTCGGTGCCCTCCCTCTCTCTCTCTCTCTTTTTTTAAGATTTTATTTATTTATTCATGAGAGACAAAGAGAGAGAAGCAGAGGGAGAAGCAGACTCCCCGCTGAGCAGGGAGCCCGAAGCAGGGCTCGATCCCAGGACCCTGAGATCATGACCTGAGCCGAAGGCAGACGCTTAACCATCTGAGCCACCCAGGCGCCCCCCTCCCTCTCTCTCTTAAATAAAATCTTAAAAAAACAAAAACTCCCTCTCCTAGTGTACAGGGAGAGAACCCACTCCCCCTTTTGGTATTGTACAAAACAGTATCTTCAAGGGTAAGACAGAGAAACTTATGGGCCAATTTTACAAGATATAAGTTACTGTTAAGTGAGTCCATGATTATCTGTTGAGTATGTTCTGTGAGCAGAGGCAGTGGAATACCAACCAGGCACTGTGAGGAAATTAAAAAGAAAATAAAAATAATTAAAAGAGATGTTTCCTGGGGCGCCTGGCTGGCTCGGTTAAGCGAGGGACTCTTGGTTTCCCCTCAGGTCATGATCTCAGTGTGGCGGGATGGAGCCCTGGGGTGGGATTATGGGGAGCCTGCTTGAAATTCCCTCCTCCTGCTGTGTGCGCATGCTCTCTCTCTCAAATAAATAAAGAAAGAAATCTAAAAAAAGAGAGACAGATGTCTCCTGCCTTGAAGAGCTTACAATCAAATTAAGGTAGGCAAACATAAACAAATGTGGCAACTTGATAATAAGCACCTGCGACCTATGGCCACATACAGACTCAATGCCACTGAGATCATCGCTGAAAGGTTGATGAGAAAGGGGCGCGGCTAATGCAGAAAAGGCTTCCCGGTCTTGCAAATTTAAACTAATTTCCAAGTAGGTGTAAATTCTGGCTCTGACTAGTGAGTGTTTGCCTGAAGAATAATGGTCAGAAGGGGCGGTGGCTGCTACACACCACACCCTGCTCTTTTTTTTTTTTTTTTTCCCCCTTGCGGAATTAAAGCCACCCAGCGGGTGGGGCTTAGGATCTTTCGGAGCCGCCACTCGCGGGCGCCCCCTGCCGCCCGGGCCTCTCCGCCCTCACCCCAACTTGAAGGGCAGCGGAGCAGGACAACCTACAGTCACCCGGGAATCTGCCGCCCCTTCCCTAATGCAACCCACCACCCAGATGACCCCTCCCCGCCCCAGGTGAAATCCGCAGAGCAATTAAGACTGCAATCCGGCCCGGCCTCGGTTTCCTCATCCGTTCCCCTCGTGAGGCCCCCTTGAACTTTCTGCGCCACCCCAGTCTCGGCCAGGGACAATCTGTGGACTCAGCAGATAAATGGCTGTAGCTGAAGCAACCGTCCATCTTCGTTTTCTTCCAACATCAGGCCTCCCACCCCGGGCTCTCTACTGTCCCTGGTGGCGGCCACCATCTTACCCCCACGTCCAGAGTCGCGCTGAGGATGCGGCCGCCCCCATCGGCCGTTGTTTGGACTACATTTCCCCTGAGCCCTTTCTCAACATCGCGCGAGCTCTCGCGAGACTGCTGAGAGGACGTGGGCGCAGGCGCGGCCCCACCTTCTTTTCGGGGCAGGCCTCGCGGCTGGGAGGCATGGCGGCTTTTGGCTGGATCCAACGGGACGAGCATTCTCGGGCCTTTGGCTGTGGTAAGGCTGTGGAGGTGGGGAAACGAGATCTTCCTTGACCCGACGCAAGTTCATTCGGCCTCTCTTGCCTCAGAGGCGGAATGGTGTCGATAAACCGGTCTCCCTCCTAGGGTGGTTGGGAAGTTTAGGGGAAATACTGGATCAGAAGACGCAGAAGGGCGCGAGTGTTGATGATTGAAGGGAGAGCGCTCAGGCCCTCCTTTGGAGTTAAAGGGCCCCTCCTGGGGCGGGGAGAGGTTCTCCCAGCCTGTGCAGCCTCGTGCGTCGCACAACCACCGTGTGCCCTGCGGGTCTCCGAGGCCCGCCCACGGGGCAGGCTGCGGGTGGCAGGTTTTTTTTTTTTTTAACATTTTTATTTATTTATTTATTTATTTGAGAGAGAAAATGAGAGAGAGAGCGCACATGAGGGGGGGAGGGTCAGAGGGAGAAGCAGACTCCCCGCTGAGAAGGGAGCCCGATGCGGGACTCGATCCCGGGACTCCAGGATCGTGACCTGAGCCGAAGGCAGTCGCCCAACCAACTGAGCCACCCAGGAGCCCCGGGTGGCAGTTCTTAATTCACATCAAGTGTTAACGTCCAAGTCAAGTCCCACCTAGAGTGCCTGGAGGACGGCCCTAATCAGTAGTTTTTATTTAATCCTATAGATAGCCGTAAATGGGATTGTCGATTTTGGAAAGCCATAATTCTACAACCCACCTTCCAAGTTCATTTTTTCATTCCCCACAGGCTTTTTCTTTGGCATCTGCGAAGACAGCAGCAGACCTGCAGGTTGAAGCTTAAAAGTAAGGAATGGATCCCTGAAATGAGTAAGGATGGGTGCCGGAAGGCCCGCTACATACGGCCGCCTCACACTTTATTCTGGTTTTAAATTCAGCTTTATGAACACGTGGACGCATAAATCCAGTTAGGGTGAGAAAAATGGACCCAGAGTCTGGAAGTGAGCAGGGCCTGTGTCAGTGTGATTTGGCGCCACTGGGTGTCACTGTTTGGAATCAAAAGGGTTGCTGCACACAGGGATGGGAGGGAGACTTAGGAAATGGGTTTTGGTTGGCTGGGGTTTAGAAATATTTGTGGATGATTTAAAGTTATCCTTGTCTGAAAGGACATCTTTTGTGAAGAGTTCTGATGCCTTGAGGCTCAGCCTTTTAAATACCAATTTTGAGGTAGCATCTTGACATCGTTTCTGTTAGAATGAAGTATATTACCCACATTTCCCTTAGAGATTAAAGGTGTTGACTGTAGACTTTGAAAAAGTCAAGTGAAAATCATCATCTTAAGATGTTGAGTGTGAGGACTTTTTTGATGAAAATTTTATAAATGGGAAGATTTTTTTTTTAGCTCTTTGGCAGAATTGCAGAGATTAGCGTCCCTTTAGTGCCTTGTTAGATTTCAAGGATGTGAGCCTCCCAGGATTGTTCCTGCCCAGATAAGGGAAGGAGTGTGGAACTCTGCTAGCCTCCTTGGCAAGCAGTCTCCCAAACTATTTGTTAAACAATCTTGAGTGGAGTAGATATTTTCTCCTTTGCTACTGAGTAAACAAACTGAGGCTTAGTTAATACAGCTGTTTCTTGTGTTTTGTTTCGTTTTTAAAGATTTTATTTATTTGACAGAGACACAGCGAGAGAGGGAGCACAAGCAGGGGGAGTGGGAGAGGGAGAAACAGGCTTCTTGCTGAGCAGGGAGCCCGACGCGGGGCTCTATCCCAGGACCCTGGGATCATGACCTGAGCCGAAGGCAAACGCTTAACAACTGAGCCACCCAGGTGCCCCTGTTTCTTGTTTTTTAAAGAACCATAAAAACAGGGCAAATTTTGTGAGGGTGCTATTAACCTTTTTTCAGTTTCATTGAGAAATAATTGAGTTAAAATTAGCCCAGTCGTTCTCCACTAGGGTGGAGCATGCTATTGGGATCTAACGGGTCCTGCTAAGTATCCTACAATGCACAAAATAGCCCCCACCACAAAGAACTACCCACCCAGAATGTCAGAGCTGAGATTGAAACTTGTATTAGACTAACATGAGAGATCTGGACCCTAGTCCCAGCTTGTTAGCAAATAACCCCACCAGAGCCTTATTTCTTTGTAAAATCCGGTTACTGCTTTCCAGACCTGGCTGTATATCCAAGGCACCTACAAAGTGTTAGAAGTACACCTCCAGCCATGGATGAGAATGACCCTCGATCGAGGCCCAAGGATTGTGTGGCCATCCCAAGAGCAGTCATATAGGAACAGTTAGATGAACTGATCTACTTGTAGCTCAGGGATTTTTATTACAATAAGATTATAGCACTGGCTATTTTTAAGTAGCTCTTGGGGGCAGATCTATAATCCTCTACTTAAACTGATCTAGCTCTGTGGATCATTGTGTATGCAGAGGTGAGTGAAGGAGAAATGACCTTGTGTGATGGTGCCTTCTGGCAGCGGGTTACCTTTGTACAGCTGGCCTTCAACAGGATGTCCCAAAGGAGTAACCACACATTTTACTGACACTGAACTATACACCGCATACATACTCTGCTATCAGGCACTTTGTGCTGAGGTAGACTCTGTCTTTAAAAGGGCAGGAAGTGTCCGTCAGGTCTGGGATGCTGGGTACATTTAGGCACTAGGTATCAGCAGTTTTTACCTTGAAGGAAAGTTCCTTTAATAAAGTAGACAAGATTGAGAATTCTTAGGAGGGAAGCAAAGCAGAATTTTGTAAGGAAAAAGTGGTCTGCCTCTGCTAGAAGTGTCAGCCCGTGAGCTGGTGGATTGGCGGGAGCTGAGTTCATGATGATCTAAAGTTATCCCTGTCTGAAGGCAAAGAAAGCCTTTCTGTGGAATATGGATGTCTGAAACTCAGTGCCCAAGTTTGCTTTATAGAAAATTTAGGCCAGATTTGAATGTGAGCTACTGGAGAGTTACCCGTGTATATCTTAAGTAGATTTTTCTTTTGCAATTTCTCCTTGCCAGGTGCAGTTTCAGCCTCGGTTTTTGAGGCTGGAAAAGGATCCTACAGAAGCAGATGGCAGCGGTAGCGCCAAGTCTGCTGCCCTGGGCCCGAAGCGGAGACGTCTCTTTTGTATGTAAGTAGAGCCCTTCCAAATAGACCTGGATGGGATATTTGTTTTGCTGCTTCTGCCTCGGGTTTAGGATTGTGCTGAGTGGCAGGGATATTTTAACATGGGTGTTTTTTTTTGTTTTTTTTTAAGATTTTATTTTTTGAGAGAGACACAGCGAGAGAGAGAACACAAGCAGGGGGAGTGGGAGAGGGAGAAGCAGGAACCCTGCTGAGCAGGGAGCCCGATGCGGGGCTCGATCCCAGGACCCTGAGCCGAAGGCAGACGCTTAACAACTGAGCCATCCAGGCGCCCCTAACGTGGATTTGTTTTCTTTGCTAGATGTCTGCAGTGTGTGAGACAGAACTGACATGCTTTGCCTGAAGTAAGTGAAGGGACTCCTCTCTTGCTTGTAGTCTTTGTTTCCATCTTTCGTGTCCCTAGGAAGCCCCACAAGCCTATGATGGTTAGTTATCCCTGTCTGAACATCTCGGCTGAGGGGAAACCATCTATTCTGAGGCGTTGGGGTTTGGCTCTTTGCTCTTAAAAGTTGAGGCTTTATCAGGGATCAAACTGAATGGACTCCAGAGGGAATTGTCTACCCTGCAAAGACCCCAGTCGAGTGCATCATCCCTCTGCAGCTTGAAAACTGATGGTGTGGCTGCCCTGTCGTGCTCTAGGCCCCTTGACTGATGGTCCTGGGGTACAGGCTCGAAGAGGGGGCAGAAATGGGCAAGTAGCCCAGTTGTGGGTCATGTTCTTACGGTGGAATGAAAGAGTGCTTGTCCATATTTCAAGGAAATGAATGCACTCTTTGAAACTGATGGGAATGTCGGAAGTCTGCCAGTTGTGGCAGGACTGTGACCTATCTCTGCACCACATGGTGACATTGAGGAAAGAAGGGCTGCCATGGCACCAGCAGAGCTGTTTGGTTTCCAGGTGCTTTGTTTACAACACCAGGGAGCTCTCCTAGGGTTAGCTGAGATCGGGTCTGGACAGCAGGAAGGGCATGGGGCTGCTCCTGGGGCAGCCGAGGGCTGAGGGGCTGTCATGCGAACAAGAAAGTAGCCCAGTGATACTGGGCCGGGAGGGTGTCTGGCTTTGTTCCCATTTAAATGCCAGACTTGGAGTGGGCAGATGGCCTTTTTCTGTTGAAATTGGGGGGGTATGTATGGGCTTTTTGTATTGAAGGTCACATAATTGTTCAGTCACCAAGGAAGCTAGATTTGGGGTGGGATTTAATCCTGAAAACTGGCCCCAGCAGCTTACAGCCTGTAAGTAAAACCAAGTAAAAGGATGTGTTTTAGCGAGTCACGAAGTTGACTCCTTGCGTTACCGTTGCTGCAGAGTAGATTGGACTTCACCACAGGACTCACGTAGACCTTTAGGTTTGACTTGAAAAGCTTAACCTCCAGAAAGGGGTTGAATGAGAATGTCCCCAGTGCTTCGTGGTGGTTCTTCCCTGGCCCCTTGCCAGACCCTGCTCCCTTTGCGTATCAGCCCCTGAGGGCAGGCTGTGGTGTCAGGTCTTCCGGGAATCCTAGCAGTCTGCTTTGAAGCAGTCTGTGCCAGGTGGTCCCCTCAACAGCATGGGCCTAATGTTCAGTTACAATGAGCGCTGCTACGGTTGCCTTTTCTTCATTCAGTTTGGCTTTCAATTTTGAGTCCCCTGCTTGACTGATCCATCAAATGACTCTCCTTTGGTCTTGCAGGTTATCTCCTCAGGACAGGCGATGCCAGGTGGAGCAGCACGGTCTCTGTTGCTAATTGTTAATGCCTGCAGAATAATCCCCCAAAGGGAGAATAATTGAAGAATTCTTTGGACTTGGTCTTCAAAAGGAGCCAAAGAATTTGAGTGACAGCTCATCCTGCTGGCAGTCAAATCAGGGCGTAACTAAGAAAATCCAGAATGCCGCAGCTGAGCTGATCTGGGTGTAACTGGTGTACTGGCAAGAAGGCAGTGATTGTCAACTGAAAAGGGTTAATGTGTATGTGCTGTTTTGGGGAGACTGAGGGGAAGCAGGTGCTCAGCCTAGAAAGAGATTTCTCAGAGTGGATTTCCTGTGAAGTTAATGTATCTTGGGCTTAAATTTTGAAGCACAAATAAAAGTTTTTAAAAATGGGTTTTTGTAACATAGATTT